TTTATTCTTCGTTTTTCCGCGATTCGCGTTCGATGATTATTATACTGGCGGAATCGTTAATTTTGATCGTGATCGAATAAGCCTCTCGATTAACTCTCGTTGTTGATTAATTTTTTGCGACTATGCGCAGCACCAACCAAAGTTTAATAGATGTTTTCGCATTATATTCTGGATATTACGAAGATTTTAATAGAGTGATGTATGTGATTAATTACATTGCCTTCATTTGCGCGCTGATACCGGTTTGTTCCGGAAGTCAAAAGTGATTGATAAATGGTCGGATAATTAAGTCAAAATGATTTACTGCGAATACTCTGTAATAAGTTACTCTTTTTACAATATAATATTTTATATAATATAATAATCTATTGATATATACTACATTTTGTTAACGAGAAATATTTTGATTTTATTTATATTCTTTATTGATCTTATGTCACGTTGTTTGATCGATAAATTTTAAACCCAGAATTTATGCTCAACGATAATTAATTATTGCATAAGTAATTAAAAGCAAATCCGACATTGGAACATTAAACAATTGCGGGATCATTGTCAAAACTGTCAAAACTGATAAGTCTTCTACATTAATCATAGTATCGATCTAAATATGCGATTCGAGATGTTAATGAAAAAAACGGTTTTTCATGGATGTAATAGATATGAATCTAAATCTTTTTATCTTTTATTCTGCCTCTAATAAAGTAAACTAATAAATAAATAAATATATATATACATATATATATATATATATACATATATATATATATATATATATGTATATATATATATAACTGTCAAACTTTGATACACGTGATACATGTTTTCTTATGTATATTAAATGCATTTAATTCCAAAGTTAAATCATCACATTCGGCATTAAGTATTCTACACCTTAAGTATTCTACACCTTAAGAACTTGAACCATGCAGAAGTTTCAGTTTTGCAAGAGAAATACAGAAAGAGAGATCAGAAAACATTCGTTATTACAATCTCGCATCACGTTCCATCTTCATTAACGACGTTCCTTGTTCATGCAATAATTCATACGTCTCTTCGAGTATGTGGTACGACGTGATAATTACCTTCTAAGAAATTAGGCCGTAATAGACGCTCAAGCCTTTAAATTGCCTCTTGTGATCCGTCGTGGATACGCGAAATTAATCTTCATTGGGTAATTTAGATGTGCAGCGAGCATCATAAATATGTCGTCACGACATTGTCGTGGTTCGCAAATATAAGAATATTTGTGCTAAATGACAGATTTGTAACCGGCTTGTACAACAATAAAATATGGCATGGCTACAACGGAGAGTTGATTCATCGAAGTATCGCGATGAATAATTGACCGCGCTTTGCTCCGATTAATTAACTTTCAGTACTTTGTCATTCCGGTCGCGATTCCCTAACATATCAGACATTAAATGGATATCCCCCGCATCCTCAAACGTTCCTCGATATTCTAATTTCTTTTCTCTTTTCTTTTTTATTGGAAAAACCGATGTACCTCGATGGAATTTTCCTTGAGGATTTATAAAAATTTCGCTTGTTTATCGATCTGTTTTTTACATTTATTTGCATTTCTGTAGTCTTTACAAAAAACAATGTAACGTTACTAGTTGCATTCTATGCGGTTCCCCACGTCTTTTTCTGATGAAAATAAAATATAACTTTTAGAAATCATATTCGCAGCGTACTTTTCATTTCGATTCGATTAATTGCTCTTGATATTTAACAAATAGAAATATTTGTGGATGCTGCTTTGTCGGTTCATTTTATAGTCCATTTACGCATTACTGCATTTAAATAGTTAATTATTCGGTACGTTGTTTGATATAATTACAATATTGCTGTACTGTCGTAACATGTATTATCGTGGTTGTTAAATTTATTGTGATTGGTTTTTAGAGGTATTTATTTAAAATTTATTTCACAAGAAGAGAAGCACTGTTTTGTCTTTTTCTCTCACACATTTTTCACAAATTTTAATAGCATTATATGTTATTTTGTTAAATTATGTGAAAAATATTTATCTTCTTTGACATTGTAGAACAAAAATCATTAAAATTACAATAATTTCTAATACTGTTGTACAGTTTGGCTCTCTAATTAGCCCATGCATTGCACAGTACATTAAAGCGATGCTGTATTTAAATTAATTAATTTAGACATGACATCGCAAAATGTTATGTGCACTTGTAACAGCATGTTGCGATGCACTATCGTTTGTTATTAATTACTCGCATTAACCAATCAATATCAACAGAACATTGATTGGTTGACTATCCTTGAAACTTGCGCATGACTTAGCTGTCGACGTAATCGTGGGCTGTCGATGTAATCGTAGTTTGTCGAGGAAAATACCGACACTGATAACGCAAATAATCTTGCGACGATGCGAAAATTGCGAAGTTGATTTAACGCAGAGAGAGAGAGACTCTCAACGTGGGCGATAAAATAACAAACGCACGTCACGATTATTAAATGTCAGTGTAATGTTTTCATCGAGCGATGCCATTGAACAAGTGTATCATTCTTAGACAAGATGATGACGACGTCGGCAGTTTCCCCTGAGGTTGCTGAATTACAAAAGTCTCACTTTGAGATTCTATTGTGTGTCGCATGTACTTTAATTATATTCGCGACGAATCTACGAGGTTGCTCGATAGTGCTCTTTTGCTAAAACTTCGACCGGAGTGAACAAAGACTGCAAAGATGTATCTTTGCAAGAAATGTTAGTTCGCATACAAATTCGTATCTAGAAAAGCTTTTCACCTCTCGAAAATGTATACACACATGGATAATATGTATATGCACGGTGTCTAAGAGGCTTGCGCAGTAGATAAGGAAAACGTGTAGGCAGACGTAACGTCGTACGTGTGATCCTTATATTTTCGTGCGAGAATTCAACCGTGAAGTTTTCGTCAAAAACTTTCCTCCAAAAATCACATTTCTCTTTTTGGAGAATAGCTTAGGAATGTTTTATTAATGCTATCTCACGCCTACGTTGGAAAGTTTTTCGTAATAACTAGATTCCGCGCCGCTCGTTGCTTTAATTAACGGGCCGTAAATCCATCAGAATTGCTCGTTGAATTTCACACTCATTTCCCCAGTAGATTTCATGAAATTGCGAAAAGACAGCCACCGAGAATATTAGGATCTTTCTAATAATACGGATTATTTGTATATAAACAACATCGCATAGAAGTTACCGCAATAATGCCGGAGGCTGCAATAATAATATTCGATAATTTACGCGCCGCAGGTTTGTTTCAAAGCTATGTCGTGTAAATTATGCTGATGTGAAAATTTTCATAGAAATCCATAGAAACGAAAATGAAAGATTGATATAAAAAGAGACTACTCTTTCCTGGTATATATTTATTTAATTTTTATACGAAATATATGAATATATTTTATGTAGATTAAATCAATTATTTTTTAAATTCTATCATTTTAGCTTTTAACTTCAAAAATTACATTGTTTGCTAATTATTAGATTTATATATACGACAAGACATTATTCTCTCTCTCTCTCTTTACCAATACAACTTTTATCGTGACTCTGCTAGCTGAATCAAATAAAATACAAACAAATTTTTTTCATCATGTCGATCGCGCCCAAAGGAACAAAATATCACGATTATTCATCCATGTTGGCGAGGATCATGTTTTCCGAATGCACTGCGTTCTCTGAAGTTCCGTTCTGTGTTCGTATTCATATTTCTTGTTTTTAATTTCGTGTAATATGAGAATTAAACAGGTGTTTAATTACCTAGTTATTCTGTAGTATATTCTGTTTTGTTATATCTTTCGGCAAATGATATAAATTGATACTCGGTACGCTTTAATCGAAATATGTTTCATTTCAAATTTTGTTTCTATTTAGATTGAATTGTGAGATATTTCGCATAATAAGTATGTTGCATGTATATTTGAAATGAAAGATTTTCTGCATCGCATTTTGCTCATTTTTATGACGCATAATATCCGACCGTAAATTAATCGCGAATCTCGATAATTTATGCACGGCCTACATAGAAGATCGTTGAGAGACACGCTCTTAACGGCACATCAAAATGCAGTTGCGGGTTGGGGAATTAAGAGGGTGTAATATAATGTAACCGAACTGAACTGTGCTCTTATCTGGGTCATCTTCCTCTAATAGAAACTATTCTAGCTGCGTATATATACGAAGAGAATGTTCTGGGAAACCCCTATTGGACATTCAATTGGCTACTTAGGATGCAGCCAATTAAATGTATTGAATGTATAGGTAGTGCATGCGGTTACAAAAGAATGGTCTAATTCACGAAACTTTTGTTTTAGATAGTACATTTTTGTTTTAAAAATTTTAATTAATTTCGTTTAATTATTTAAATTTTATATATATAAGAATTATAATATTGAATTGTAATAAATTCTTAATACGATGATACCATCGATTCAATACAATTTTTTGTGCATTTTTAGAAAAAAAGGAGCAATTAAGTTTGTAATTCTGCAATTAAGATTGTATTGCTGCACTAATTTTTTTTTTAATATGCAATAAATTTGGAAAAAATTTTTTTAATTTCTAATAGATATTCTTAGTTTCTGGAGGAAGTTTTGTATGATTGTATGCACTATGCTCATGATGCGGGTCCGCTTTTCAAAGTGAGACACTTTTTTTCATTGCAAAGGTGCATAAAACAAAAGGTTTCTGTTAGACATCGTTTAAAATGGAAGAAGCTTGTGCTTCAAAAGCACAAGTCGCGTACTTGATTTAATTAGCATAATGGCTGTTTCAATCTATTCTACAGTTTAAAGAGGATTTGTAATATTTCTCGTAGTTATATATATTTCGTATATTTTTCTCGTAGAAACGCGTCTCATTTGATGCTAATGATTAATATTCACAATTAATGCTAATCATTTTTATAAATATGTATAAAATATTTGTCAGCATGAGATCGATACATTCGGTGAATGATGGGAATGGAAATTGTATTGTGTCACAGGGATAAGAAAATGTCACCGTGATGTTACATCGAAGCGCTTCGTCGCGGCGCCGGCGAGCGTCGCCAAGCATGGCAAATTCGAGCCAGCCGGCGGGGGTGTCTTCGACGATGCGAGGTCGACGAGCGAGCGTCGCCACCGAAAAGCCCCTTATCTTGCCGCCAAGCAGCCCCGGCGAAACGATGGAAAGACAGAGATCGCCGAGGGGTAGCATGGTTCCGAATATCGCTCTGGATACCGAGAGCGATTCTCCCGACGAGGTTAGTATTCACCCTCTGACATCTCTAAAATTCCTGTATAATTTCTTTTATACATATACTTTTGAGTCGTTATTACTTTGGTATACAGTGTATCCCCAAATTCATCTTGATATACGTGTACGTATAAGGTGGAGGAAACATAAATTTGAAAGCTTATTTTCTCTAGAAAATTGTATGTATGTATATATAAGGGGCTACCTGAATTTTTTAAAAGCGTTGTGAATAATTCGAGCAATTTGACTTGGCAAATATTTTTACGACGCTAGTAGCTATATAAAGTGTAAAGATCAATTTAATCAATGAGATTTTCAGTCAGCTGAAAAATACTGCAGAGATATTTCATTTTTTTATTTTTTTTTTGCTATGCTATATTACACGAAATATTTTATTATTCGAAGGATAATACAAATTATATGATACCAATTATATGAATGTTTGATGTCAATATACTCATTGGTGAAATCAAATACAAGCTTTTTGTTACGCATTTTATATACATCATTTTATCTACAAAATTTTGATGTCATGAAATTTTCATGGCAGACAGATTGCTATCACATGTTATTCATTAACGGATGATTGGTGTGCAACGTAGGCTTGAAAGCTATCGGTTAGCTTTACACTATGTCGTTAAAATGATTAAAATCCATTCATTTCAATCGAGTATTTCTACATGTTTCACGAGCATGTGGCTTTGCTTTCACGTACAGAGATAAATTTGTCCCTCTGTTAATTAAACTAGGTATATCGCGTAGAGATATAATATTTATACGCATCTCTCCGATAAACTCGAACAAAATAAAAAAAAATCAATTAATTTGAGTAATAGGAAATTAAATATTTTGTAGGCGAAAAAGCGATGACTAATTTATTTTTTTGTAATATTCCTGACATCTGTCAAGTTTACGAAAATAAGAAAGCGGATCATATCGTGACATTCCTTAACGAAATATTAAATATAAAGTTGAAAATTAATATCTCCGTTTCAATATTTCTTTTCTGCGTTCTCTTTACTTTATCAATAATTTAAGTAGATAAAAAAGCGCTCTAGAATCTTTATAATTTATTCCAGGGAGTCTGTCGCAGGATTTTGCCAGATCCCGAACAATACGGCACCAGTCGTAACTCCCTGGTGCCGGAGGCGAGCCGCAGCCCACGAAATTCCCTGATACCTGACGATTACTGCAGAAGCCCGCGAGGCTCTCTAATACCGGATCCCAACAGGAGTCCGCGAAACAGTCTAGTGCCCGATGTGGCCCGTTCACCGCGATGTAGCCTCACACCGGAGTTAAGTCCGCGTCACTCGCTGGTGCCGGATTCTGCGCTCAGTCCCAGGAACTCGCTCGTGCCAGACGTGGCTTACAACCGAAGTCCGCGAAACAGCATAGCGGTCGGTGCATCTAGGATCTCTCTGCTGCCGGAGAACGGTGGTAGCGTAATCGCGGCTGCTATCCGTAGTCCTAGGCACTCGTTGATACCGGATTCGACGAGAAGTCCGCGCGGTAGTATGGCGAACCTGGACTTCGACCGGAGTCCACGTGGCTCAATTTGCCCGGATGTGCACAGAACACCCAGGGGTAGTATCACGCCCATGGAGGTCGTAGACAGAAGTCCTCGTGGTTCGATAGCTTCCGAGTGCCTGAACCAGAGCCCTCGCGGCTCGATCGCGCCCGATCCCAACAGATCACCCAGAGGATCGATAGCACCGGACCCCGCGAATCGGTCTCCACGTGGATCTATTTGTCCGGAGAGTAACAGAAGTCCGAGAGGATCGATCGCGCCGCACGACCAGACGAATCGATCGCCACGCGGCAGCATAGGCGTGAACGATATCGATAGACACTCGAGAGGTTCTCTTGGAGCCATCAACGACGACGAAAATAGAAGCCCCAGAGGAAGCATTGGGCCTGAAGGAATTGATAGGAGTCCTAGGGGGAGCCTTGGAGGGCATCAAGATAGAAGAGCCCCACGGGGCAACCTGGGTTTGCAAGATCCTAGAAGAGCTTCTGCAGATCAGGGTAAAAGAAAAAAAAATATATATATATCTCCTTTAATATTTTTTTAAATTATTAAGTATTTTACTAATTTTTTTGAAATTTAAATTAATCTTTTATCTTTCTCTCTTCTCTATTAATTCTTTTTTTAACAATAAAAATGATCTAATTAATAATAATTATTTAGAATTGCTATTACTAAGAAAGAAATTGAACCAGTCATAGACTGGTTATTTCTATTATCGGTATTACAAGTAAATCAAGTTATATTATGATGAGATTATCGTGAATTTGTTTCCCTACATCGCGACTGTTGATGCATAACTTTAATACGAAAATTACCGCAAAAAGGTGGTTCTTGGATATGTCCAAACCGCAACGCTTTGTATTCGAGTAGCGAAATCAATGTATAATCTTCCTCATGCAATTATAGCATCGCGATGAAACGTAACGCAATGTTCGGAACATTGTGTTCGCTACAACTGCGGTCGGATTGTTCCGATAATACGCCTACGAATACCAATCAATCATAACATAGCGAGAAATTAAACAACAATTGTAATATTGACTCGAGAGAAACTATAATTGGCTATAATTTTAAAAATGTCGTTAACAATCCGCAGAATAGATTTAAAAATGATAATAAATTTATACAAAGATTTATACATATCTCATCGTGTATTGCATATGCTTGATATAGATAAATTTTAGATAGATATTAAAAATAATCGATGTCGAATAATTTTAAGCAAAAATATCTACAGTATATGTCATAAGAAACTACTCTAAAAATATCCAGAATTGGCGATTATTTTTTATATCCTCGCATTTGCGGATTGAAAATTTGCCTCGAGGCAGGGTACATCTCTTCCTTCGGGATTGCAATAGCAATTTGACGCTCATTACTGTACAACTCGACGTCAGGTCGGTCTCCAGAGAGACCGATTAGGTTTCGTTCGTTTCACTCGGCGTGCCTGAGGCACATCGAATGCGATAGATGCGGATAATATATCTCGACTGACGGAAATTGCTCGCCGAGCGATACATTCTCGCGCGTATACATTCTCAATTGCCATGCGATGTCGTACATTCGTACTTTTTTCGCAGATATGACAGACATTCACGCTTTGAAATAGCGCATAACACAGGAGTGGAAAGAACGATATATGAAGACAATATCGTCAAATTGAAAACAATTTGATAATATTATGGCGCAGATGAGCTATTAAAAAGTAATGTCAATATTCTTTCCCTTGATTTTCACTATATATTCTCGCACGAATAAATTTATTGCAATTTAATCAAATCAGATAAATCCAACATCTCCGATTTTGCATTAAATTTTGGGCATATCATTGTATATAAGTATATATAGCATAATATGCAAAACTAGAAATATAACGAGTTAGATGGTATAAAAATAATTTTTCACCGATTTAATTTTACTTGAATATTTTTAGATTAATTTATGAAATATCACCATTTTCAACAAAAATTCAATTTTTAATTGTAATAATTGTATTAGTAAACGTAATAATACTAGGAGTTAAGTAATTAATCATATTTATATTATATGTGAATTTATATAAATTAGACAATTTAAATATATCGTAAGTAAAGGGATCTAACGTTCTATTGGCAGCTCGAAAGCTCACATAGTTTTGATATGGTAGTATTAAACTTTGTAAGCCAACTTATGCAAATTTATGCAAGTTTATTAGCTTATTATTTAATGCAAGTTACTAACTTATTATTTATTATTTACTGCACTTCTGTGAGTTTGAAGAACAGTGTCTCACGACTACGTTCGCACATACGAAACACATGGATCGATGCTTGCGACAAACATTATACATGCGCAGCGATGGACGCCGATTGCAAATAATCGCGATAGACGCGATCGCGTAATCCAATGGGTAAATCGAGATAATCGTCCATTGTTAAATTCGACACTCATGATTTTTCACGTGCGATGTTGGAAGATACTCATGACACTTATTATATATTGCGCGACACACGTGTTTGAAGAATGACGTCTCACGACAAAGATTCGGCACTCGCGACTCGTAACATACGATATTAGAAAATACTCGTGACACTTGTCACAGACTGCGTGACACATGTGTTTCGCATGTGCATATGATAATATTTAGATAGTATCTCTTAGCAATTTAATATTTTTGAATAGAATGAAACTGGCAAGAAACAAAAAATAAAATTGCATACTTTAAATATGTTTTTAACGCTACGAATTATTTTAATGCCACGGCAAAGGTGCGAAATGAATCACGAGGCAAATAGGAAGCATTTACTTCTCTGCGATAATTAACATCATACGCACTGATATGCTTCGTTTGTGTAAATTGGCCTGATTTTGTCGCGCGTGCACGATGCTTATTAATGTTCACAATTATACCATCAAATTACCATCGGTCACGAAATCAAAGTACACGTCTGATACATATTCTCACTTACCTACTTCGCGCTGCGAAAAGAGATTGCGTGCGTTTATAATCGGCAAAATCGGCTGAGTAGAATTTCCCCTTGGAGATTTTCTGAAACAATAAAAATGCAAATACAAAATGAATAATTCATTATTTTATAATTCAGTAAATTTATTTTAATTTTATATTTATCATAGTAATTTTTGTCGCAAATATATATATATGTACATATTAAAATGCTTTCCTACGTTTCTATCGCGCTAATTTGCTCGCTGTTCGCGTGATTATTCGCGTGAGATCAATACGATATGAGATTGGCCTCTTTAGCAAGCTACGTAGGCAAGCGGAATCGATAAATCGCGGCGAATCGCAGCGAGAAACGTCACAATAATCGAAATCTCTCCAGTAGATGGGATTCGTATTCCGTAAATTGAAAGCGCGGATTTATCGCACGAAGCAGTGCGCATTACGCAGAAGCTTGTTGACAAAGATATCTCATCGTCTGAGTTTGCAGTACATGTAGTCTCTTTACAACGAAATTCGTGCAGAAACATGCGAGGGGAGAATATAAATTAGATCACACATGCTAACATTGTTAATTGGACTATTGTTCACCGTGTCTCATAACTTTACAGTTATTTAATATTCATTAATTACAAATGTATCAAAATAAGCAAAAATTGATAGGATAATAATGATAAAAAGTTTAAACGAATATAATAAATAAAATTTTATTACAATTTTATTTATTATATTCGTTTAAACTTTTGTATTACAATTTTATTTATTATATTCGTTTAAAATTGTATTACAATTTTATTTATTATATTCGTTTAAAATTGTATTACAATTTTATTTATACAATATTATATTTAAAAAATAAAAAGTTTGAGCATTAAATTTATGGGCGTAAAATTGACAAAAAAAAAGTTTCAAAACAGTCGCAACTGTAGAAAAGAAATTTGAAAAAGTAGAAATGCCTTTTATTGGATGTATTGCTAATAAGTTTGAAATTCATAACTCGATTTCGCAGTTTCTGTATCTGTGCGCGAGCTCTTCTATTCTATATACAGCCGTAAATGTCCACGAGAGACGCGCAAGACTGCTCGTCGAGCTTTGAAGAGTAGTTGGGGAGATTCAAATATTTGCGTTTGTCCAGGGAGCACGAGAAACCGAAGTTCCTCGCCTTATCGCCAAAGAGAAGTGAGCTCGGGAAGTGTCAGATCGGGCGGAAGCGGAGGCGCGCAGGTCAATCTGGGATATGGGACAAACGCCTGGGCCGATTCCAGGCGAGCCAGCAGCTCCGTTTCGCAGGTAACCGTGCCCTCTTTTACATAGCGCCCACTACCGTTTTTCGATCTGCAATATTCGAGGAATTTTCTTTTCCGCCCACCGTTACAACACACGCTCCAGTTGCGAATGTCGTGGAATGCGAGTGACTGAAAGACGCGCTACCTTTCTAGCTGAACGAATATACACGGGAAAATTCTGAGGGTACAATTCGTCATGCATTAATAAGTACAGAGACGTGAAATGGTTGTATAGTTTTTTTTATCTTCATTTTTTCATTTTTTTTTATTAATCTTTTTTTTATATTAATCATATATATTATATTGTGATACGTTTAATTACGTTACGTTTAGAATATATATTGAGTTTTTTGTGTTAAATGAATTTCCATTGAATTAAAATTCGATCCAAATCGTGTGAAGAAAAGTTATTTTTTGGTTTTTTTTCCTCATCGCTTAACCTCTCGCGCTTATCTTCAAAGTAATTTTCTTCGTTATATTGCTCTAGAGAAACGTCGGCTTTGCAACGCTTTTCCATTTTTATTTTTACAAAATTCGCTTAAGTTTGATTATGAAAACAGAAAATAAGTTAGGGAGCTCGTGGAGTTTTATAAAAAAACAGACAACTCATTTACCTCGAGATTAGAATATATTTAAAAATGTTAAATTATATAGTCGCACGTAATATGTACTAATATACAAAATTGCAACATTAATTAAAGTATTTATAGAAAATATTTCTCTTTCGTACATCACTAAGAACGAAAGAAGGTCCTCTAACACGAGCTAAAATTGCATTCTGGACGGGTTTTCCGGACGGTGCAGACACAGCTTGGCACGATATGTTGCTACAACGCACGCGAAGTTAAGTAACGATACTACCGGTAGCTTCGTCACGAGATTCTCCACGCCTTTATTTCTCGTGCCTTGCCCTTTACCCTTTGACTCGGAAAAACCTTAATGAGTTCGAAAGAATATATTTCTTATTACATTATTTTCGATATTTGCGCGAAAAAAAATATTATTAATATTTAAAACAAAAAATGTAATTATATTAATTATATTATACTATATTAATTATATTACATTAAACTTTAGATTTTCGATTTTATATATTTATACATATGTATAATAATTAAATATGATTATAAAAACAGAAAATAAGTATTACATATAATTTATTCAAGAAAACAATGTGTGATGATTGACGCGTTTTAATTCGGCAATGAATAAAAGCACGGATTTATATGATGAAACTAACGCTTCTTGCGTGAATTGTTGTTTGTTAAAAACGTATGCTGCTGTTTCGTACGGTGTGAAAATTAAAGTGCGAAAATATGTGCGGGACATCAAAAGTACGGGCGTACTCTGTTCGTGACAGCTTAAATTTCTATATAGATCACATCCACCGCTTATTTTCCGTGTGAAAAACATGCTTGAGACGTGTGCACGCTACCCGAGAACCTCTCAAAAGATCAATTCCGTACGACATAGAACGAGAATTGACGGAGAGAAATAAGGGACGTGTCAGCAACCGTTCGACAAAGCTCGCGTTTTTTTACGATCGCTTATTGGATCCATATTGTATGCGTGATAAACGGAATATAAATTATTTTTTAGCGCAAAATCTGCGCTAAAGCGTTTAAAAAATTTCCGACATCGATAATTAAACCGTCTTAAATAAAGTCGAATTTTAAAATACGAAAAGAGTATCCTTCTCATCTTCCTCGTTGATTGAATTATTCCTTCTATTTTTTTTTATGGCAGCATTGAATTTTTATTCATTCAGAAAAATGCGCGAATTCCTTCGGAAGAATTTTTAAGAAATCTTTAAATCGTTTCGCATCGCTTTTAAAATCTGGATTCTGCAGTTAATTTTTTCTTTCTTTCTGTATTACGAGCGTGTTGGTTAACATGGGTTTTTAGCAAAAGACGGAAAAAACCGCTCTTGCTCTGTCGCTAATTGGATTACTTTGTAATCAGCAAAATGCAGACAAAGTGGTACACAGCGCAGCACACTAATACAAAGTAATGAGGATGAAATTTAAAAAAATGAAAATAATGTTTCTAAAATAAAATTACAATAAGATAAAGAGAAGTGCGGGAGCTGAGATCCGTTTATAATTTTGTCAAGTCGTCTCCACGATAAAGTCTAACGTCGCGCATGTACGTGTAGCATTAATCCGAATAAACTCGCCAGAATAAGATGGCATTATATTACAAGAGATCTGATTTGAGCTGACGTGTGTGCTTTCAGCTTTCAGGCGACGAATCGCGTCGGCTTTGCGCCAGCGGTGCAAAAGCACCTGAAAAGGGCAACGCGGAAACTGCAAATCTTAGCGTAGCGACATATGGCTCGGTCGTATTTCAATTGAAGGACGCCCATCTTGAGGCAAACGGTATCTGCGATTTCGTCTTTCGCGCCTTGAAAGTTATCAGCAAGACGATGACGTTCACCATATGTCTGACCTGTCTGTCCACTGTGCCTATCTTGATGTTCATTTTTGGTGAGTGAAAGAGATTTGAATATCGACGACTTCGATTATAATCTTGGTTCGAAACATCTTGGATCGATAATTGGCTACGCATAAATAATTTAATTATGTAAAAGAGTATTTTTTTCGAGTAGCATAATGAATATTATATAATAAATAGTAGAGGGATAAGTAGGTCGAAAGAGTGTGGATTTACCGAGACTGTTGTCGACGATTCGATCCGTTTTATATTTCCGCGTAGCGGATCGATACTTAGTATATCTATACTGAAGAATTAACGACAAGCTCTCGTGATACTTAGGAAGGTGATATACCTTATCCCTATTCTTTGATCATCATAGCACTTTTTAAAATTCAAATTTGTATCACTCTTTAATATAACGCCATTTAATATCCTTTTGACTTGTTAGTTTTCAATGCTATTCCTCAATATTATTTTTAAAGATTATTATATGAATATTTTATACATGAGTAAAAAGAGAAAAGATTCAGTTCATTTAAAAATTGAGGAAGAATAAATGATTGAACAAGATGTTCTCTTTAACTTTCTTCATGTTTCAGTAAACTTTGCGAAACCTTTTAGCTTTTTTTTATGTAAATTCCTTTCCATTACATATCTCTCGAGAATTAAAGCTCTTTTATTAACCTTTAGCTTTTCTCGAGGAAATATCTTTACGCATTACGTCTGATGGGAATCATTTCAAATATCAAAGAAAATTTTTAATACCCATCAATGCTATAGTGTTGTCTACTACCCTTCAATTAATTTCTGAATCGAGATTGGGTCATAAAAGTATGGAGTCTCTGATAGCTGAAGATGATTTCTAGTGGTAGTTTACGGAGAACGTGCCAATTGAGAGATAAGATTCTTTTACCAATATTCTTCTGGCACAAATATTTCGTATCACCGTCAGCGATATAAGTCTAGAATTTATTGGAACAAATAAATGGAAAGATTCAGTAGCTAACTATTTTTGCAGTTCAATCGACCTTTAATAGTATTCTTTGCAATATACGATAATGCATTTTTATAATTTATTAATTATTTATATTTATGTAATTATTAAATAATGTGAATTTTTTTAGATATGTATATCATAATGAGACATTTATGAGGAGAAAATATATTTTTATAACATACATATTTTATAACTCTAATATTATAAATTGATCTATAAATTGAATGTAATTAAACTTTGAAATAAATTAAAATTATATTTAAAATTAATATTTAAAATTAATAGAGAAATTTTTTAACTAATAAGAGATCTCTTGTCTCTTGCAAAAGTTTTACAATTAGATATGATCTGTTACCTTCTCTTTCCTTTATCGTGAAATAGAGTTTCGATCAGCAAAATGCAATTATTTAGCAAATGTTATAGAAGTATGAGAAAAGATATATACGACAGCGTAAAATAAATAAAATCTAACTTCTGCTAACAAATTTTAAAAAATTTTTCGAAATAAAATTTCAGATTCCATTTTCGATGTTTTATTTATATATAATTTTACATAAAAACAGTATTACACGTATTTAAATGTATTTAATAACTCAATTTTCAATGAGACTTTTTCTAAATCAAATAAATTACGATTCTACATGCAGCAAACGTGCGTTTGCTTTCCGCCCGGATTGAGTAACAGATCTCGAAATTCTAAACGAAATTCTACGAAATATACGATATCGTTTCCGAGTTAATTAATGTTGCCATGATTACGACACGCAAATCGCTAGCGTGTCGAGCTTATGGCATGCAACCATGTTTAATTTCTTGGCTATGGTCGGTTATTCGCGCTACAGAGCACGGACGCTCAACCTGATTTATTGCAGGCTCAGTGCATTCACCTTTCGGCAAAGTCAATCTGGTAAGAACCTGCAATCGATAATATAATGGCGTAGACGAACCGCAAAAATGGCCGAATAAGACTTAAATCTTTCATGGATACCGATATAAAAGCACGAGAGTTATAGAAATGGCAGCCTTTAGTGTAAAGGTTTGATAAGACACTTGAACAATCTTAGAATAAGAAGGAACTGATTTGAGAAACAATGTGGAGCACATCGAAGATTCAATGTATTAGAATGCCATTAAAATAATTATCATTATATATTGATTTGCGGAAAAAGAAAAAGAAAGCAATCGACACATCACGATTGTCAATCGCTGTTTTACGCGAAATTTGCAATCATACGGTTTAAGTTGTTCGTAAGTCATGTTTATAGCATTACAATCAAAATAAAGACACTTAAATTGAAGTTGAAATGATATAACTGCCTTGAAGATTTCTATTCTTTTTCTCAAATACAACATATGTGTATGTAATTGTAATATTTTCAATTACATTTTATCTTTACAATAATTAAAAAAGTAGGTACGTTGATTATATTAATTTTTTATATTAATTTTATATTAATTTTATCATAACAAGAATACAAAAAAATCAATTTTTTAAAAACTGATTGTGTTGCATATGGTTTACATATACAAGATGTGACACAATAACGATGTATTAAGGTGTACATTGCAGTGGAGAACCTCTTCATGTTTGCATGTCACGTTATCCTAAGTTGGACGTCGAATCAGGACGTGATATACAGGATAGACGTCAGGCAACACGCAATTAATGCTAAATTATTCCTTGCTGGCGTTATAAAAAGCGCATAATAATGATGCACGTCATATATACATTAGATCTTAATTGATGGGCAAGAATATCGATTAAGACATGTTTTTCTTTTTCGTTTTTGAAAATAATAATGAATTCATAGTGTTAAGCGAATTATTGTACCGTGTTATCGCTGCTTGGCAAACTATAAAATAGAATATTCAGGTCACAGATATGAAAATATATAAAAGGAAAACGTTCATAAAAGATTTGCTAATGAGGAAGATTTCAGCAAAAAAATGAGAGAAACAAAAATCGTGTCGTCAATTATCACATTTACTGCTACATATACGTGACACCACGTAAAATTGAAATTTATGTGTAATGTTTAAGCAGAGATAATTTTACACATGCAAACATATATGCATATTTAAGCTAAATACATTAAAAAAATACATTATACATATATTTATATATATTATCTATTATTATATATACAATATTATAAATAATAAATTTCTATAATACAATATAATAAATTATATAATTTTATTAATATAATATAATAAATTATAATAAATTATATAAAACTTCTGTGTATGGCAGATTCTTTTTCATAGGCAAACGTATCGATTTATGTTTAAATTTATTTATTATTTATAGGTGTGCAGTTCATTAAGGATTGTCCGAAAGAACCATACATTCCTGTCTACATGCTGATCGGAGGAGTTTTGGGCGTCGTGCGCATGTTTTGGGCGCTCTATTCGCAGATACGTTCCCGCAGGCCGGAAGTCCTGTCCGTTCCCGCAACCAGTTCATACGTTTCGCCTATGAAATTACTCTCCATAGCTCTATCGTGCTTCCTGGTCGCATGGTTCGTGTTAGGTAAGTAACTTGAAATTTCGTTCGGAATCATACGCGTTCCCGCGCCAACAACACGCGAACTTTCCGAGCGTTAAAACCATAAAGGATTTACTCAACAAGTACAAAGCCGTTTTACGAAAATGCGTGCTTTAAAATTTTCGGTTACATAATTCTATAATTATTTTATGCAAATCTGAATGTGTCAGAAGATTATCACTTGCAAGATAGAACAAACTGAAAATAATATAAGTAACTGCCATTTTTTTAAATAGTTTTTTAATTATTTTTCAGTTATTAAATTATTTTTAAATTGTTTTATTCTCTACATTAATTTTTCATTTTGTATTATTTAACAGAATAATTTTATCCCTCTTATGTTTCTATGTTCTCTTATGTTCTATATAAAAATTTTTAAATAAAATTTTGCAGATTCAATAAATATCAAAATAAAAGAATTTGTAAAATGCGAAACGCTCGAAAAACAGTCGGAATATTATGTTGTTGCATAAATATTGATGCATGTATTATATTTAGTTTCTTTGTTGTTAATTACGCGATGCTTTCCATTTCAATATTATTTTTGCGAGTAAATTTTTAAGAAAATAACGGTCAAATAACTTTGTTTATATTTGCATTAAACTTTAATGTTCTATCTTTGGTAAAAACCAAATCAGGATTAAAGTGTCTCACAAATATTACTGCTAATTAAAATATACAGTTATTTTCTTTTTTATTAAATATATGTTAATATTACTTCGTATATAATATATTAGATTGATAAATTCATTATATTTTTTATTATTTTTTATGTTTGAGATTTATTTAACTGCTAGTGCAAACACATAAAAGAGCAAGAAATATGAAGCGTTGAAAGTATTGTATATGCGAGTGTGAATCTGTGTCCGAGAAGAAATTATAAAAAGTCCAGTTATTATGACGATTTAACCGTTCGTGACCAAGCATCGTATTGCAATATTTATATTTCGTGCAAAGCGCCAATTTATCGTATGGCAAAACGTGACAGTTCGTTGGTCGGAGTGAGGGATGTAATTGCAGGCTGCTTAATCACGAACACTTGATATGTATGCCACGTAATTTCGCTGGGTCGTTGCTATTTCTAAAGTTTTTGGGTCGAATACAAGAGCAAGATTTTGTTTGTGAAAACAAACAAGTGGAGCGAGAAAAATTTTTCCATGCGTATTTCAAAAGAAATATATTTTTCAATATTCTTTAATAAACTTGATAACATTCCATATGACCGTATTTTATTGCTCCGATTTGAAAGATGTTGATTCGTACGTTCGTTATGCCGTATGCTTTCTTCTTTTTTGTTTCAGGACATTATTGGATACTGCATATAATGTGGCCGGAATATAAAGTTTCGTTATACGCGCCGAATCAGTGGTGTCACAAAACGCTCTATATTTTTTCTTTAGTTCATCTATGCGTGATGTATGCGGTTTTATTTGTAATACTAATAGTAGCGATCGGTCTGGCTTTCTGCAGAATTCTGGAATGCCCTTTACCGGAAAGGTAAGTCGCTTTTTTGGCGTACTCGGAATATCTAGTTTACAGGATTTGTTCAAAGCAAAAAAAAAAAAAATAATCAATTACGTTAATGAAAAGCTGATAACGTTAAATCCATTTTAACACGATTTCTTTAAGATGTATAAGAAATTTCTAGTCACATTATTTACAAGGACTTATATCTTGAATTACATTTTCGTGTATAAGTTTTTGTAAATAATTCGTAAATTTCTCTTTTTATGAATTGCAGATATAGAAAGCGACAATTCCAATCAAGACTAATTTTCCTAAAAATTTTCAAAATGGGAGAGTAACTCACAATTAGACGCGTACGAATTTTTCTTGGAAAATACGACTATGACTTATAATGAAAATAACGTGCGATGTTGATCTAATTTTCGTAGAATCGATGGAAACTATTTCACGACGACGAATACGACGATGAAAAATGTTTCGCGACACCGCGTTTCAATTTGCTTATTACAACACTCGATACAATTGCCGATACAGAACCGAGTAGCACGGATCATTGTATTGTATATACGCACACAGATTATGTTCCTATCGTCAACGAAATGTGAATATCTCGCTCATAATTTACATTGAGTGTCTAACGACGTGATTAAAATATTCGCGGCGAGATTATAAAAGATACAAATTAAATAGACTTCGCAAAAATACCTGTATCGCGATTTAGCCGTTTTCTATTCCGCATGAATGATACACACGAAATGTTAAATGCTTAACTCGTCGAAATCATTGTGTGTGTTAATAGCGCACCTTATCTAACCACTATCAAAAGTATAATTGTTGAAATACGATATATATGTAGTTTCTCGACATCGTTTCCCACTCGATCTATGTCAAAGCGATATAGAAAGTGATATATTAAACATTAAAAGAGATAAAAAACACACTTTTTTTTATATGTAAGGCGACGAACTCCCCCGCGAGATCGATAAGAGCACACTCACACTGCAAAGTGCTCCCGTTCTGGTCGACTTTCAGATACAAATAACCACGGCGATCCGTTCGCCAGAATAAAATCCGCGAGAAGAAGAAGTCGGCCGGCGGCAGGAGCGGTGGCTGGCGTCTAGACAGACATAAGGTCTTGGAGGATCTGCAGGAGGAGGAGGACGACGACGATGACGAGCGGAGCGATCACGGGGAGGATTGCAGTAACAAGATCGTGCAGGAAGTAAAGTACTGCAGCAAAGTGCAGTTTCGTGCGCCGGATATCATCGAGCTATGATGAATAAGCGATGATGCAACGGAAGAAACGTCTTGCTGGCGAAAAAAATCGAGAGGAAGAGGATCGTAATCTTAAGTTTGCCCAAGATAACGACGAGGGGATGCTGGCCACGAGAACGGTATTTGCGACAGGAAGCTCTTCGAGGGGAGATGAAAAAGGGAAATGAATAACGAGGTCGCGAAAGGAAAGGTATCGCCGGAGATCGATGATGGTGTATCTTTCGTGAATAATCGAGGTCTCGACACTGACACGTAGAGATCCCGTAGTAGAGTCTTCGCATTTTCCGCAGAGAAGATTTACGTGACGGAAACGTTTCAATGGAGATCCCGAATCGATCACGAAAGAATTAACACGGAAATAATGAAATCTAAGGAAGCATATAATTGACTCGACTCATTTATCATAAATAATTTTTGGGAATGTCGAGAAGAAGATGATATGATTGATATTTTCCGATAATACATAAAAGTAATTTTTGACAACGACTATTTTTCAAAAACTATTAGAATATTAATATCAAATTCAATCATGTTTAATTTCAATTTTAAGTCGACGTGAAGAGTTCACGTAGTTGAGTTCATGAGTTTTGGCCTCAATCCGTGGCAGCGAGAGAAAACGAAATAAAATTTTTATTGACGAGAAAAGATTATCTGAAGACCCTCCTGTAAGAAATGATATTGGATGGAGCACGTCTTTATCCCAATAGTAGAAGACAGAAACAGAGAAATATTTTCTGAAGAATTTCGGTTCTGAAACATCGTTTCGATTTAAGCGTATCTTAACTGCGGTTCAGTGAGAAAATCGATACAAAGACCTTCATTCGTATCAAAACAAAAATCTCCAATTCCGCTGTTGGAGAAACAACGCTTCTTTTTGTACACAGAATTAAATGCAGAAATGTAAAGTACGTAAACAGCTTAACTGAATTAGCATGATTAAATCGTGCATTCATTTTCTCCTACGAATGTTTGTCGAAGAATTCTACATCATTTCAATAGGGACTGGATACGAGAGATTTGCCAATCATCGATCTTCCGATTATTTTAATTCGTCTCAACATAGGAATTTATTGAGTTTCTTTTGTTTTTATCATTTAGTTCCCAGCAAATATATAAAGAAGCAAGCAACTATTAAACATGCTTCTTCTTACTTTATATGATATACAACTTTAAGTAATATGATGAATATTTGATGAATATTTTCGAATAAAATTATTCCTAAAGGAAGATTCTTCTCGACAACTTGAAGGTCTCGAGTTCGAGTTTCATTAGTTGCCACGTAAATCCGCCCCCATGGAAATACGCGCTGTGTCGAAAGCTCGTCGAACCACGTTTGAAGATTGCGCAAAGTTGAAGAAAATTCGTAGAAATTTCACGATTGCAGTTTTACCGCGTAATGTCATCCGCAAAGTTGCGGTTTACCCAAACGCGAAGAATTCGCACTTTTCCGAGTTACTTACTCTCGAAGCAGAAAATTGTACAGGAGGAGAAAACCGCCGCATGGGCAAAGAACGAAGCTGGATATCGACTTATCGAGCGACGTCGACGTCGATGATGACGACATCGACGAGGACGACATACTCTCTTACTGGCCGAACCGACGCGCAAATCCGTTTCTCGACGAATCAAGTCTGGCAAAAGTAGTTACAGTGACTGCAGGAACTGCGTTCGTTCAGTGACGGAAGTGATATCGAAATTTTGCATTCCGGTTTTACTCGATGCGCTCTCTCTCCCCTTCTCTCTCTCTTTTTTTCTCTCTGTCTCTGTCTCTCTCTCTCTCTCTCTCTCTCTCTCTCTCTCTGTCTCTCGCAAAGGAGTGATACTTGTGCAAAATTTCGTGTAGGAGGAATATGGAATTTAATGCTCACATTCGTTACGATTCATCAACATGTCAAAGCTTCCAATCGTTTCTCGTTATTTCTCGATAGTATCGAGCGCCAATTACAGGTAAGTGGCTCTAATTAAGGATACTTCAACATAGGAAATGTATAGGAGACATTATTTCTTAACTTTCATTATCTTTTCTCATTCTTTCTCTTGTTTCTCCCAGTTATATTCTAAAAAATTGCAAATTTTCCAACAAATATCTTTTTTTCATAAAGACATAGATAATTCAAATGATAAACGCCAAAGTCTGTTTATCATCTTTCATGTGAAAAAACCGTAATTTTTTGTATCCTTATTTGTTTCATGCTATCGCGTTTAAGCAGCATTTTATAACTCTCGTTTAAGATGTAATCTATCGAAGTAGTACTATATATATATTGAGATGAAAAAAGTCTCACATCGTTTCAAAAAGAATCAAGTACATTTCGAAGTGTATAATAATTATTAACTGTGTATTAAATTAGTATTACTGTGTACGTAATTCGTCATCATCAATTATATAATGCGATCGATTAAAATCGGTATACATATTTGTCCTGAGTGAAATTTGTCGAGACATTATAAATAAGTTTTTACACATCTACTATGCATATCCATGCACATATACAAGAATGCTCTTTCACATACACGACTTTTTTATGAATATTTATCATTGAGTGACATTCTTTTTTAGATCTCGTCTCATTTTTCAAATTTCACGAGGTGATGATATAAATAATATAATTATCATGTTACATTCAGTAAAGAAATAGCGTATAATTAAAAATATAAAACTTAACGAACCAATTAATACGCCTGATGTTCTCGCTGAAACCCTCCTACGTGCGATATTTAAAAAAATACTTCTTTTCTAGCGTGAATAATTAAATGTTTAAAAAAAATTGTCTTTTGATTAATTCTCGTGAAACAAAGAATAAAAAATATGGTGACGTATTGCACGAAGTATGAGAATGAGGATTCAGCTCGGCATCAGGCGAAAATGAAATCTATCAATCATATTGAGTTTATAGGAAGATAGGATAGATGAATAGAATAGTAGAACCAAGAATTGAAGCTAAAAATCTCTGGTTTATATAAGATGTAATAACTGACGAGAGGGTCAGATGAATTAGAGCAAAGTGGGTTAAATTGAGCGAAAGTGGGTTAATGAGTGGGTTTCTTAGTAAAAATGCGATTCCCCCTACGATCCCCTTTAATCTGTAGTTACTATGTAAGAGATTCTGATGTTATGAAAATTGTTTAACAAATTAATATTATATGCAAATGTTATTGAACGTATATGCTCATAAATATGTCGTTATTCTTATTATAAAGAAACTCAGAAAACATAGAATTAAGTAAATTTTTCAAAGTTTAAATTTCTTTTTTGTATTTTGACATAACTCGCAGTATATAAAACTTTTTGACGATAGCGACGATTAATCTTAAACTTGTGAAATTTATCATAGTACATTCGGTATCTCTAAAGAGAGAAAAATCACTTTTTTAATAATAAAATAAATATTTCTAAATCTGAAAGTTCTATAATTAGACCGACGATATTGCGTCAAAAACTTCGATACAACTTGTGTTATTTTTTTGCGATTACGACCGACAGCATTTCTATGCTCTATCATGTAAAATGTATCAAAGAAAAAAATAAATAGTAAGATAAAAAGAAAAGAAAGGCACAACGTCAATTAAATCAATACATCAACAAGCTTCGCTTTAGCTAAAATATAATTCTAACGAGAACTGTTCTTTTGCCCAAAGAAATAACGAGCAACATGACATACATATAAAGATCGAATATATGTTAAACAAATTTTCCCCACTTTAACGAAATCATTTAACGTAAATTTCATCGCAAACATGTGAATCTGCTCATATTAACATTGCGATAGAAAACATGCATATTCATGCATTCAAGTATTTATACATATTTTGATAAATATTACTCTTATACCATCTAAATATTTTTGCATAAATAATTTACATTGTTTATTACATAGAAATAAAACAAAATTCGTGAATAATTATCATTTATGATTTAATTGTTTTTTACGTGTTTGTAATCATCGTATACCAAATCATACGAAGAAACTCGCGAAGTGAATGTTTCGTAAGCACATGAAAGCAATCGTATTTATTTGTGTAACACATACACCCACATATTGTGTGTGTAAATATTGATATACTCTATGCACGAGAATAAGAGTAATTTCTCCAATCTGACCAAACGCAACGATAAGTGATTTATATGAATTAAAATATTTCAATGGCCATTAATTTGACTGCATTGTTCTCATGCTTGCACTTGCAACTGGTTCGAAAACGGGTCCATACTTAATCGTCTATGTATGGAATAAATAAATATAGTAATTGTGTCATAATTAAGATTGTAGCTCAACTCGTTAACGTATGTATGACTGTAAAATAAATCTCCAAGCGCGGGAACGCGCTTTTTACGATATTTCCATCCTCGTCATTTATTCGTTTATTATTATTTTAACGAGTGAAAATTCTATTCGATTTCTAACAAACACCAAGAAACAAGAAAATACTTTTTTATTATTCTTTATTTTTTCACACATTGATAGTTACTACGTAAAAACAACCTAAATAATAATAATAATAATATAAAACAAAGTAAATGAGAAGTAAATGAAAAAAAGTAAAATAATTGTTTGCTAATATTATTGTTTAAAATATAGTTAATATTGTGTGGATTGAAAAATTGAAAGCATGGTTCGCTTACTTTGAAATATTTCATGTAACAAAATATTTTTGGACAAAATATTATTGCTAAAATGTCTTCACTCGTGACATAAAAAAGTCTCTGGAATAATAAAACCTTATGTGTTATATGTTGGATAATGGTGCAAAAGTTTCAATTGAGATTATGATAGATGACGATTAAATTGAGGTTTTGTCTCCATCGTAGAAATGCGATTTTTATCACAGCTAGTTTCGTAAAAGTTATGGCTATATGTCACAGTCAAACGTGACAGCTACGGACATAAATTATGTGACGGTCAGAGACGTGCCCATGCATATAAAACTCACATGTAAGGAAACTCTAAATAAGTTTGAATATGAAAATCCAATTCCAAATACAACATAATGTTGAAAATCCAATTTCAAATACAACATTACGTTGAGTTAATTCAATAAGTATTTATATGATTGCTAATTATTACAAAAATTATATGCATTGTTTTTATATAATTTGTTCGAGTAATATTAATGATTATTATCTGTCTTCCTATCCTTTTTCATATTTTTTGGAAAATACTTATCACTTTGCATTATTATACATATTGTAAATTACACATGTCTATAATATCTCATATTATCAAGCTATATCACAACGATATTTAACGTAAATGAAAGTCGTATTGAGTGCTGAGTGCAGTGAGAATAATAGAACTCAGTCTTAAAAATCGCTAAAAATACGGAAATATTTATCAGTTTTGTGCGTATCGATAAATTGATTTTTGTTAATAAAAATTCAAATGACTGTTCTGGATTTTTGTATTTATATCGATATCAAAAGCTACTACGTAAAAATCACGAAATGGAAAAAAATCGATGCGATATATTGTATATTTATTGTGCATATTGAATCAGTAAATTAATTTGAGAACGGAAGAGTTGAATTTATTAATAGCATGTAAATTTATACACGGGAAAAATTCAAGTTTTATTTAAATAACAGATATTTATAACTGTTTTTTTTTGTGCGAAAAATTCAAATCATGCGAGCCATGCACCGATTGACAAGAGATATAATTCAAAAAGCTTTATATATTTCACGTAATATTATGTACGTTAATCCTTTGCATCGATGAAAGTCAAATCTCATTTATGACTCATATATGTTAAGAATGTTTTATAATTTATACGATAATTAGGACAAATATTTCATGTGTGTATTCAACAAAAGTATCAATAATTTTTATTTTAAAAATATTTCTTTTTGTCTTTTAATTGTCACATATATAAAATAATATTAAAATAATTTTAAAAAAATATTAAGATATATAAAAGAATATTAAGATATATATACTGAAATTTTATAAAATCATAATCATCATCAAATTTTAATCTAAAATATACAAAAAATTTGCTGTGGATCAAAATTGATATAATTTTCATCGTGTATGCAGTTATCATCCGAGTTCACTATTCGAGAATTAAATAATATGTCTAATTATTATATAACAATAATTAGAAAAAAAATAAAATAAAATACATTTTCTAATAAATTATATTCGTCCCCAATATCGCGCAACAGTGTCATAGTGCAACTATGTGTGTTCTTAATAAAATCAAAATATAAAAAAGTTATAAATTACAACGAGAATATGTAGGACTATTTATTCGCGATTTTGTTCTGATAATTTAATAGCAATCGCGATTTAGACTGTCTATAAAAATAATTAATCATACTACCTATCGTGTGTTTCGTGTATTTTATGTATAATTATGCTACTATGTTATCGATTTACTATCTAGGTTACATTAGCGCTATTCATGTTTGGCATCATTAAAATGTGAACCTAGATACGTAAATATAAATGATAGTGTCTATAATGATATAATTTTTTATTTTATCTCTTGACGGATTTATTTTGCCTCTAGATATAGTATTAATTTAATATTTTTAAAATTTTCCTTTTAAAATCTTATATAAAATTTAATATCACTTTCAAACATCAGAATTAGAAAAAATATATAAATATTATATTAAAGTTAAAACAATTCGCGAGTTTCGCGGAAAAAAAAATAAATACACAGAGTATGTTACGAACATTAATCTACTGTTAGAAAAGTTCATGCGCTTGCGAAATAATAAGAGCCAGCTCTGACGTTTTGTTCTCATTCCATTGGTACTACGTTCACAATATTATATGCGTTTTCTGTCCTTGGAAAAGGGACAGAACTTATGCCTAAGTCGATAAAATGGCAAGATATAGGATATAATGATGTATCGAACGATAGATATTTGTAGTGATACTTGCGTAACACTCCGTATTTGAGAATGAATCGACAGCGAGACTTTGTGATAATCGTGATATACATACATATGTATATCGAGCGAGTAACTTGGAACACCATCGAGATGAAACACAAATCTCGATCTCTGAGATTACGGTCCTCTCCTCTACGTAATTCCGCCTAGCTATAAGTAATGTCGTCGATTAGTAATTATATTAATAAATGTACCGTTGAGAAAAATATTGAATTTTAATAGGATCATATAATAGAATAGAGAGTAGAGAATTTATTTATTTTTATACTGGACACCTCGATAGCGTCCGCTGTATTTAATTGGGCACATTATTAACGTCCATTATATCAACGAGCGTAATGTTTTCTCTCGATTGACTCGGAATTTGCGTGTCAGTTTCTTTGTTGGTTCTTCGTAGATAATTGCAAACCCGTTTCAACCCGCTGATCATCGTTAAATTTAACGCGCGTGTGTCACTTAACTGTTAACGTATAATATTCAAAACGCGCGAAACGAATAAACGATAAATGCGCGAAAACAGAATAAACGGTATTAATATTAACAGTAATGTCAACGATGAAACGCGACACGATATTAATGGTACTTTATCCCCTACCAAGTAATCTGGTAAACGGCCGAACGATTCCAGTAACGGTATCGATATTAATTAAGAGGTGTTTTCGTTCCCGAATTAATCGGACATGCGTGTCAGAGGTAGATTTTTGCCGGATACCGCGCTATGTGTTTTAGCGATACGTACGTGTATTTTAGCTGTTAGGAATATAATTGCACGCGCCAAGAGTCGCGAATTGTGGTCCAGGCTTTAACGTAGAATTTACATGGCAGCGTCACGCAGACCGGTCTCGTTTGTCGCGACAGCGAGGCGAGACGTCTCGTGCAAACATATA